TATGGTTACTGGGGACCTGGAAGACCACCCTTGGGGAGCCTGTAATAGTGGCGGCAGCCTTTCAAGCGGCTCTGTTTTGTGTCATAAATCCCAAGGACACTGCCACAATTAGGCGACACGCGGACAATGGCAATGAGAGCCCGAATCCGACTCCCATTTCTATAGCCATTCCCATTCCGAATCCGAATCCGAATCCGATTTTGGGCCTCACGCAGCGCAGCGCTCCGTTTGAAGAGCGACACTTTATGTGACAACATGTAGCGCAGGCTGTCCTATCGGAACTGTTAGATCCTCTAACTTCGAAGGTCACAGGTCACGCACACACGCCAAGCAGAAGCAGCGACCCTAAAAACACGCTGACGATTGACAACGAGGTCGGTGGAAAGCGGGGGAGAAGTCATGGGGGAAACCCCGATACCCGAGAGCCGAAAGGAAAACTCATCTGAGATTTTCCTTATAGCTGCCTTCTTAGACTGTGTGTTAATTGACGAGTTAAGTGCTTTTTTATGGCTGGCAATGGTTTTTTAATTTGGTGTCGATGCAATCGATGGCAGCCCCATAAGCGAGGCGTTGATAGCCCCACTCGGCGACTAAGAATTAATCAAACGATCTCCACTTACTGGCGGTCAATTAAATTATAATTTACAATGTGTGGAAATCTAATAAGCACTCGGGTTCCGAGTTCTCTCCTCCAGTTGCCAATTAGCCGGTGACTTGGACCTGGTCGCTAATTAGAGAGCCGGGCTGTAAAATCATTTGCCTAAAATATGCCCGACCTTTGGGTTCGTTAAAGTCGGAGTTCTTCTTTTGCGCTGACAGCTGACAAATTGAACACTTCCCCGCCAGCACGCGAAAGAGGAATTCCGCCCAGACATATGCTAATTAAATCATTAATATTATTAATAGTGTGTGCCGCAGTTATGCAAATAGAACTAACGTATTTCTGGTGTTCTCTTTCCTTGGTATATTTCAGGACCCCGTTACCGCCGCCCCAAACAGCCAAAGGATAAGACCAACGACGAGAAGCGACCACGCACCGCCTTCTCCAGCGAGCAGTTGGCCCGCCTCAAGGTGAGATTCCATGCCATATAATACATTATCCATATCCATATCCCATTCCCCGTCCCTGTGTTGTGTCATATTTGCACCAAAACATTGACACCGCCCGCTGCTAATGCATCCTGGTCACCGCATCCTGTCCGTACTTAACCAATTAGCCACGCTCGCCCCGAAACCGCAAATAATTGATTTCGCCTACCTGGCCCTGGCCCTCTAATAGCATCCGAAACTCATCCAGAATTCCTTTTTTCCACTTACAGCGGGAGTTCAACGAGAATCGCTATCTGACCGAGCGGAGACGCCAGCAGCTGAGCGGCGAACTGGGCCTGAACGAGGCGCAGATCAAGATCTGGTTCCAGAACAAGCGGGCCAAGATCAAGAAGTCGACGGGCTCCAAGAATCCGCTGGCCCTGCAGCTGATGGCCCAGGGCCTGTACAACCACACCACCGTGCCGCTGACCAAGGAGGAGGAGGAGCTCGAGATGCGCATGAACGGGCAGATCCCCTAAGCATCCGAGGCGGAGTCCACCGGTTTCCAGGGAGCTCCAGGGAGCTACTCCTTCTGAAAGGGGGCGTGCAATATTCGAGGGCGTACAAATGGTTTTTCATGTGATATAATTGTAGCGTATATATGTTTTTTGTATATATTATTATGTAACCCTAGCTAAGCGTAAGACCTATCCGTAGCGAATTCGAGCCGTAAGTTGTTGGCGTATTTATTTAACCACCCTTGGCTAGCCGAAAGTATTATGCTGTATTCACTCGTAATCTCCCCCGAACACAAAAGGCTTGTCGCTATCGCCGCACTCTAAAAAGCTTCGACTTTCGGACATTTATTCCTACACAAAATTATCTATAGTTATTATTCTCCAATAATTATGTGCTTACGAACCACTTTGTAAATTAAGTAACTTAACAGTTCCCTAGCCTAATTCCTAGTTTACACACTTAAGGATCGCTATGAATGAGTATTTTTAGTTTGTAAGCGAAATGTTAACGAGCCACTAGTAGCCGACAAATGCACCTAAGAAAACAACAAGGAAATGTTTGTGCTAAAGCAAGTTCAAGAAAAGAAAAAAAGTAAAAAAAATAAAAGAATAATGGAAAAAATTAAAATATTTATATATTTATTTCACTGGGTTTTAAAGATGTATGGGAAATGCCACCCAGATACCAGATCACATGTGGGTTAATCGCTAATCGGTGACATTACTTGTAGCAGAGGGCGCCGAGATCCTTTGTTTCTCCCCATTCCCTTAATAGCTGTCACATCAAAGGCTGTGGGACCTTAAATCACGAACACTTGTCGTCGGGCGAGGGTGCCGCTAATTGCACAATCACATTCCGAATCAAAACGGCAGCATCGCGGGCTTCTTCGATTCCATTCCGTTTAATTAAAGGCAAATCCGCGCAGAACTATAAACAAATATCTGTGACGAGACAGAAGGCAACAGAAAAACCGAAAAAAATGAGGCAGCAGTCAGCCGCAAGTTGGCATCAAATGATTTATTGGCACAGATCTCGCGGCGAGCGGCGTTAATTTGCTGAAAATAAATGCAAACGCGAAATGCAATGCAAAATTGTGGAGGGGGCGAGATGGGCAGCTGACATTTACTGGCAAGCGTTGATGTGCACTGCAGTCGAATAGGCGAGTATATACGTACTCATAAACGGGCGAATAAAACGAATATGAATTGATGCCAAACGCTAATTGCACAGCTTGAGGCTCAGATCCGTTCGCATGTCTCGGGGGGCTTCAGCCAAGGCGGATTCAAATCGCCCGAATTATAGAGGCGCAAATCCATTTGTGCACGTAATGAACCAATTAGACAATTTGCCCATTAGCAATACACACAAACATCGCGCAATCTGTCTCGCCATCTGTCTGTCGGTCTATCTGTCCGTCGTCCGTCGGTTTGTATCTGCAAATCGAATTAAATGGAAGCGGAAATCAAGTAAACTTTTTTATTAGGCACTCTATAAGTTTGCCGGGTATATCTGGACGGAGTGAAACATCGCCTTAAGCTTTTTAAATTCCTTATTCAACTAAAGCATTCAATTTACCTTGTACGATGTTATCTCCTCGTATCTGAAAATCTTATTCAGTGAAAGTAGTCGTCCGGATAAGATTTCTACAAAATACCTCTAAAATTGTTGTGGCATTAATTTTGTATATTGTTTTGGTTGCATCTGAAAATGTTATTTCAATTAATAATATTTATGTTCTTATCTTTAGCTATTTTATTAGGCACAAAAGTGAACTATTAAAAACAAGCTTAAACATTTATTATCATTGGTAATAATAGTTATATTAATTTACAGAAAATTAATTCCCAAAAAAGTGTAATGGTTTTTTCAATTACAGCTTTCAGACGACTATATCTTGCAAAATGATAAAAAAATGTCCCATTTAGAGTTGAAATCATTAATTTACCTCATACTTTAATATTCAAATTCAGATAAACTGCAATGTTTTGCACCATTTCATTTAGCTCTCGCTTTAATATGCGATTTAATTCTAATGAATCACTTTCAATAACAGTATTGATTCATCGATTTGATAGTTACCGCCGCACGACTCTATCAATTTTGTAACGATGGGGTCACCTGTAATTGATTACCTGCAACCTAGCGTGTGCAATGTGTGAGTAATTTTCTGTCTAATAGTTGGGCCAGCAAAACGAAGGCAAATTATATACTCCAACGATCGATTACCAACGGGGACTATTGAGATATCATCTAAGCACGTCGGGGTCACCAAAAGTCAATAGGATTCGAGATACCAAATGTATTTCAAAGTGGCAGGGTGCTTCCAAAAGTCAGTCTTTTAACAACGGTTCTTTTTAGTTGGTTCGATATCAAAGCAAACACTTTCAACACTTTTAATTAGCAGAAATTGCCAAGTGACACACTAAATTTCACTTTCAGACAGCTCAAAGAATGGAATTTCAATTGCGCATACAATGTACGGGGTATTTAGTTGGGGGAGCAGATGCAAATGCTTATAAAGACGGAGTTTGGGGGAGCGACGATGAGATCCATCGAGCGAGCTATTAAAAAGCCACAAAAACACATATGCCGACTCCATAAGTCAGTCGTCTGTGTGGGCGCAGCTTCCCCTCTTAACCCGATCCCCATTTCCATGCCGACCGTGATTTATGCCCCTTTGACGCAGGCTACAAATACAAAATGCAAGCTACAAAACTTGCACGGCGAAAAAATAATTATAAAATAATTCCAAGTGCCTCGGGTTTATCACTGATAAATTATCAGCAATTATATTTATTCCAATTACATTTGTCTATTTAATGTGTCCGAAATGATGTTGAATTATTTCTGTTAGCCTTTATGCAATTGAAGATTTGGTTCATGTATTTTGAATTATTAAAATTATAGTCTTCATCTTTACGTCACAGAAATCTTAAGATTAGAAGGCTACCAGAAAATGTTATAAAATACATTTTTTATTATTTCTTCAAATGTTTAATGGTAGTATTTAGTATAATATTAACTTCATAATTTTAGATATTATAGGATATAATATGAAGTGAAATTATAGACAAATTAAGTTTCTATATATCTTTAGATAATTTAAATGCTATTCTCTTTATTAAATATCAAGTCCTTTTTTTCAGCATTTTTTCTGCATGCTTGATATTTTCTAACAATATCTCTTAATATTTCTCTCCGTGTGAAGATGCTGCTCAAGATGCTGGAGTGAATAGTAGTGCTCCTTTTGATTTGGAGACTACGGACACGTGTCTGCCACCCCTGCAGCCCCTGCCCCATTTCCCACATGCCTCTCCCTCATCGCCACTAGCCGCAGATCGCTAATTGCGCTTTTTGGGTGGTGCATTTTGCAGTTTTGTCGCCTTAATTGCCGCGATGCCGGCATCTAGTAAACTGCGAAATGGGCGACGGCAGATTTATTTGGCCCATCGCAGCGCCACTTGTTTCCGCTTCGCTTTATCAATTGATTTACGAGATTTGGTCCCCGATGGGCATATGAAAACGAAAATACACAAATTCGAAACAGTCGTACTTAAACGTTACGATTACGAGCGCCTGATGTTCGCCATTTGCCGAGTGGCAGGGTTGTCAGTAAAACTAAAGCTGAAGCTGGAGCTGGAGCTGTTGGCATTTCATAATCGCTGCTGCTGCCAGAGTTCCGTGGAAAGTGCACTCAATTATGGCCAACAGACAGGCGCTCCAAGTCGCGGGCCGGCTCTCCCGCCTGTTTTTTCCACACTTTTTTCCACCACGGCGCTACCAATGGCATGAGGAGTATCTCATGAGTATCTCACATTATGGGCTGCCAAGTTTCAGCTTCAGCTCCAGCCTAAACAAACATTCAAATGCCCGGTCGGTCGGGCGGCTCGCACACTTGGCTTGGATTTTCAGCAGAAGTCAACGCCAACATGGATGGCCAGAAAGGCTGAGACTGAGGCTGAGTCTTTAAGCCCTGGCATCATCATCATCATCGTCTCCTTCAACTCGAGACGTCAATGCTCTGTTGACTCAACGCATTTGATCGGCCTGCGTATGTGGCTGTGTATCTCCGTAGCCCGGTATCTAAGTATCTGGGTATCTTTGTAACTCCGTATCTGAAACCCCCACCCTCAACCCCTTTGAGCATTTTCCCCGAGCTGGCGCTTAGCACTGGCCAAATATTTGAGCCGCGCTCTGTTGGCCCATTGTAATTGATTGTCTTTCGTTAGTCGCACTCAGCACTCGGATTTTCGGATTTTTGGAAGCGGACTCCGTGAGCGGTTACAATTTGCTGCCTGCTAATTGCTCAGCTGCTTGCGCCTTTGTTTGGCCGGCGATTTGCACCTTCTTAGCTGCTAACTGCTCTCAATGCCCAGCTAATTGAGTTGGTCAACACGGGCGCCTCGTTCGGCTATCAATGGCTCAGAACTCCTACGTTACCAAAAGTGATCAGCAAAAGTATCTGGAAAAGTATCTTTGGGTCATACGAATTTATCTGTGGGCTGATACTAATGGAACACATTTTCAGCTCGAAAATCCAGTTGTAGTTGTGTTGTAGTCCCTGAAAAGTGATAGCAGTCATATATATCGTGAAGTATTATAAAAAGTAATCCTTTCATAGTTTCAAATAATTATTACTTTCACCAAAATGCCAATAACTGTAGTTTTTATTTATAGGTTAACATTTATTTATATATCGTGTATTTCACTTCAAGAAAAAACGTATATTTAATGCAACTAAAATGCAGTCTAAACTTTTTAACTAAAAGATCATTCAATTCAAATCCCTTAAATATTTTGTATTTTCTGGAGAATGTAATACATTTTATTTCACCAAAGTCTATCATCCATTGAGGTTTACAATTACTTTTAATTTCAAATTTTACCTTAAGAAGCTAAAGACAAAATTACTCCAATATAAAAAAGAATTTCATGCATTTAATTAATTTTTCAAACTACTCATTTATTTAAAAGATCTCTCCCTCATTCAGCATGGATAAATTCCTTTTCTATTTTTGACTATTAACAGCTTAAGGCATGTTTAAACCCAAGTTTTCACACTGATTGAAAATAAATCTTATGGGAAAGCTATTCTAAAGGCACATATTTCTTCTTCTTCAGCTGCGGCGCCTTTTGCTAGAGGTCCCCGGATGTATTTTCAGCCATCAAACAGCCAAATTAATTGAGCATTTCGTTTATGAGCACTGTCAAACGGCCATAAATATATTATTAGTATTATATTATGAATAAATGCATGTCGATGGGTGAGAGCCAGGAGAGCCGTTTATTACTAGACAAAACACATCCATGTTCGCATGGCTTTCTGGTTTTCACCTCAGCGGTGGGTCTGCGGCGCAATGATGACATTATTAACATTATTTTGTGCTTATTAATGCCTAATGGCGAGCCGTAAAACGAACATTATTTTATGTATGCAAATGTCATTGAGGTGTCTACCGCCAGGTGGATCGCCACTTGGGCGAGGGGCCAACAATTATTAATTTGAACCGCAGGTCAAGACACCAACGAGCCAAAGAC